GTGTAGTATTCGCGGTATCAGACACGATTATGTAAACTGTCAGACTAATGAGATCTATTTGGTCTCATTTTTCAAAAATTAAAACATACTACTTTTAAAACTCAAACTATATATCTTTTATATTTAAATTAAATCTCAAAAATTATTTTCATATATCATGTTTTTCAAATAAATCTAATCAATCGAAAAGAAAAAGTTGACCGACAACCACCTTGCTATAAGTGAAAATCTGAGCCATCAACAAGACTATTTTATAGCAATGTTGAGCCAAATAAATACTCTGCATTGAATTGCAGGAAAGAAAAATACAACTTGAGGATCATATTCATGATCAGTAGATGTAATAAGCATTCCACAACACATACAAATGGTTGAAGGAGGGGACCATTAACTGCTACTCGAACATTTAATCTAGATATAAAACACCACGCTCAGAAAAGCCCAATAATAGCTATGCAGCTATGCTGAGATTAACTCCAATAGAATTAGATTGTTAATGGAAATATAGAGAGATACGAAATTGACATATTTTCATTTTAGCTATCAAAAAGCCAAACCAAATGAAATATCCATCTATGAATTTTAGAGTAAAACTTATTTTGAGCAACTTAAGATGTTTATTTTTATCTATGCACCCCAAATAGTAGGCAAAGTCTTCATCATCGAGATCATAACTAATTCAAGAATCAATCTAACACAAGGTACTCAATCAAGCTAAAAAATCAACATCGATTGAAACAATAGGATTCACTCCAGTTAAATGCTTCAGAGAATGTGTGCTTAAGAGGAGTGATTAGATTAAGGAAAATATTACCCCGATGTAATCTATGTCATCAGGATGGTTTTTACGAAATGAATCATTAATAATAGCATTTGACTGATTGTCCATTTCATTTGTTATATTAAAAGCTCATACAAGAAAGATGATTTAACAACACCAAGAAAGAGATGACTACGCAAAATGTAGGGGTTATACCTAACAAATCTTCTTCCAACCAAATCAACTAAATGGATTTCAGTTAGTGAACTAGATGTAATATGATTGGACATAAGAATTTTCTTAATCATTTTTTAAACCCTATCCAAGTATGGGGATTTACTAGTATTTGTCGAATCATTTTGATCAAATTATAAGTGAGATTTTTAGTAAGCAAGATAATGATAAAACAATAATTGGGCTATTGAAAGGGTTAGCTTGGAGTTGACTCTTTTGTAGGGAGAAATAGTAGGTGTATCAGAAGCATCTAATACCAGGCTTGAACGAAGAATAATTAATTTCTTTGCATAAATCCAATAGCAACACTTAAGTTTTTTAGTGGGATTTAAACTTCATAATGAAATTAAACTATTTCTCAATTTTATGACTATAAAGTGAGCATCTTGGACAATATTCATTTACATCCTCAAATATTATCCTCCGCTTAAAACTTTCAACGAATAAAAAATTTAAATTTTTCTTACTAGATATCATTAATGTCTATATCAACCAACATTGTAAAAATAACTGGCTTTGAGATTTTAGTCTAGCTGCATGTGCTAGTAAAGTTCTTCCAAGAATGAAGTAGAAGAATAAAGCCATATGATCAAAAAAGTGAATTGGTAAATTGGGAGATGAAATCCAGTTGAGATAATGAGGGATCCTACGACTGAAAACAAAGTAAAATGTTGAACAGAGAATATTCTTTCTAAAGCCTTTATCAAGACATTTTTAGAATAAAAAACCCAACAACAACAAAACCTTTAAGTCTTAAACTTTGAAGATACTTCTGGGCACCCTCCATGTTAGGAAGGCCTAAAGTGAGCCCCTCCACCAACATAAGATCTAAATGCTTAGCTAGAATGTCAATCTTAAATTTTTAAAATGAAAATGAAGGTAAATCATTTCGAAAGTAGCATATTTATCCCCATCGATGATGACAAATCGTTGTTTTCAGAGAAAACTTAAGTGACTTCAAAGGATCACGATTCAAAGAAATTTGGTGTTCATCTTTGTTCTGTTAATCCCAGTCCTCTTTATTTGATTTTTTTTTTATTGTTTTAGCATTTCACTTTTGGAAGAGTCTTGTATCAAAATTATGCATTTGTAAATAACATAAATCAAGTTACCTACATCATTTATTAAACAGCATCATTAACAATATAAATATATACAGAATGTTGTTCCTTAATGCATCTTTATCGTGATTAATGACTATTTTGATCATTCAATTGCTTCTGATGTTTGCTATGATTTTATTAGTTTTATTTTTAATATACCCAACTTGATCTTATTCCCTAAATTTTATGGCACAGCTTCTTAAATGCTTATTTTAAGTTTTATTAGAGTAGGGGCACTTACATACATACCCACCAATTTCTATGTATTTACATATCTAACATCCAATCCTTACTTTTTACATTTATATCACCCAAATCTTTCTTATCATATCAAAATTATCACTATTTTAACTTTAAAAAAGTGAAATACACATTTTCAAGCGTATTTAAGGTGGCGATTATGTAAAAATGGAAGTTTTGGTGTTAGGTATGTATGTAAATGCCATAGACATCCTGGCTATTGGTGAAAATATTAACTTCAGCCCTACTAACTAACCTCTAAGCTATCAATTTAATTTGTGGTCTGATAATCCATTCTGTATTCGTTTTATTGCCGTCAGCAAGCAGGTCTGTTCTTGAAAGTTTTCAAGTACATCACCTGAAAAAGTTTTAATTATATTTCTAGATTTAGATTTTGCTTTCTTATTCCTTTGTATGCTTTTTAGATTTTAAGACTTGCTTGTCCATCACTAAAAATGTTTTTTTAATTAATCATTATTAACTGATTATATTCGTTTGCCTATAAATTTTCCTGCAGTTTGTGCTTGCCAGCTTAAGTGGTTGGGGTTTACTATTCTATGGAGGGTACAAGTTTTTCTCCGGCGGCAAGAAAGAAGAGGTATTTTGGTCTCATCTCTTTGATATGATGCGAGAAATTTTTTTCACATAAATTAATGGCAAATAAATATTTTATTTCATCAATCTCAAATCAAAGCAATTTCAACACCATTCAACTCACACGAATACGTAAAAGATAAGCAACTACAGTTCGAAGATAGACAATCTATCCCAAATCCTACTATTCGAGTGGTAGGAAATCTCTCTCAAATCTTAACTCTATGACTCAGGACCACAATCTTATGCCTAACGTTTACCATAAACAAATTAGTCTTATTTATACTAAACAATAATAATAAAGAGAAGTTTAAATCTCCCTTTGGTGCATAAAAGATAAAATTACCATTAGACACCGGCGTAACGCTCCCATTATGCAACTATGTTGCATTTGCTTAGTCGGACAAGTATATCATGTTGCATTAGTTTAAATCTCCTAAACTTTTCAATGAATTTTTTGAAAATACAATCAAACTTAGTGACCTTAATAGTGTTAATAGTTATAAAACTTTTTTATTTTTTATCATTATATTAGTAAAAAGAAGGTTGAGGAGACTTTAAAGAAAACCAAGTGTAAAAAATCAATAAAACCTGATATCCTTATTAAAGTTTGGAAATATCTATGGGATTTAAGAGTTTATTAGCTTACTAAACTCTTTAATATTATTTTAAAAATTAAAAAGATGCCTGAAGAGTGGAGGAACAATATTTTAGTCCCTATTTTTAAGGATAAAGGGGATGCACAAGAGTCTGTAAATTATTGAGGAATTAAGTTAATGTGTCATACATTAAAATTATTGAGAGGATAATTGAATATAGTTTAAGACATGATACAAAGATTTATCATAATCAGTTTGGATTTATGCCAGGCAAGTCTATCATGGAAGTTATACATTTATTAAGAGGTTTGATGAAGAAGTACAGAGAGAGTAACAAAGATCTACTTATTATTTTTAGTGATTTAGGTAAAACTTCCGATAAGATTCTAAGAGAAGTATTTTTTGAGAGTTCTAAAAAAGAAAGGTGTTGATATGACTTACATTCAAGTCATTAATCATATGTATATTAGAGCTATTACTTGTGCTCAAACGGAAGAAGGATTTACCTAGTATTTTTCTATTTTAGTTTGATTACATTAGGAATCAACTTTAAGCTCTTTTTTTTTTGTTTTAGTTATGGATGCTTTTATTTGACATATACATGAGGATGTTTCTCGGTGTATGCTTTTCATTGATGATATTCATTGTGTGGATAAGACTAGAGAAGGAGTTTAGGAAATACTTAAATTATGGAGCTTTACATTGGAGTCTAAAGGCTTTTATTTGAGTAAATCTAAAATTGAATACATGGAATGTAATTTTAGTAGTAGCAAAGTTGTAACTGTCGGTGATCAAATCATTAATAGGTGAGCGTTTTAGATATTTCGGGTCTATTGTTCAAAGTGATAGTGATATAGATGAGTTGTTATTGGTAGAATTCAAGTTGGTTGGTTGCTGTGGAGGAGTGCATTGGGCCTATTGTGTGATAGAAAAGTACATCTTAGACTTAAAGGAAAATTTTATAAGATTGTGATGAAACCTGTAATGCTTTATGGTATAGAATGTCGGCCTTTAAAGAGAAGCATAAAACAAAGTTTAAGTGTTGCTGAGATGAGAATGCTTGGGTGGATGAGTGACTTGACACTTAGAGACAAAATGCGATATGAATCTATCCGTAAATGAGTTTTTATAGATGTTTTGATCACATTAAACGTTGACCATATGATGATCCGGTTAGAAGAGTAGTATTTTAGATTCAACTTTTGTTAAGAAAGACAGAGACAGACCTAAAAAGACTTAAAACACATTGTATAAAAAAATAATCTTAATCAATTAGAATTAAATGAAAATATGACACTCAATAGGACACATTTGAAAAAAAAAAAAGGATTCATATACCCGATCCAATTTAGTGGGATAAAGGCTTGTTGTCATTGTAATAAAAATGTGAAGAGAATATATTTAAATAAATGTTACATAATACTAATTCTAAATCAATTAATTGTATTAATGTTAAAAATATATATTTTATTTTTTTTAAAATAAATCTTAATTTAATTTATTTTTGTTGGTTTTTAATCTCACACCTCTCTTCAATTCTTGGCTCCGCCACTGCTAGAGATTATATTGTTTATGTAAATATGAATGTTCAAGTGTTAGATATGTAAACACATAAGATGAGATTTGGGTGGTATGCATGTAAGTGCCCCTGAATATAAATATCAAATTTTAGGTGTCAACCGTGTAAATCCATAATTGGATGATTGCATGTAAATTTCACTCTATTGAAATTTTGTGCGCCTTAAATTGAGCTGTTGGTTGCGTAAATACATAAGAATTAACCAAAGTATGCATGTAAATAGATGCCCATAATTTTTTTTTTCTCTTCGTATTTTATATTTTTAAAAATGTGAAGAAATAATATACTTATATCCTTTATTTGAATAGGTGAAGGTTGCTGCACCATCGTCACAGTAACTCTCTGAAGCTGGTTAAAATATTCCCCGTTTGGAAATATGCCCCGGCCGGAAATAAAAGCCATGAGCAGAAAGCATTGTTTGCACCGAACTCTCTCTCTCTCATCTCTATTTTGGAAAGTTATTTACTACTTTTGCTATTTGTATTTGATTTCAAGTTGTGTGATATGAGCTTTGTTGAAGAAATTTTATTAGAGTTAAATGAGCATCTGTTTGAGACGGTTTTGCTTTTTTTTAAAACACCCCTATAACTCTGTTTAAAGGAATTATTTTATTGCTATTTTTTGAAAATTATTGTAGTGAAAATTTGTTTTTTTCGACCTGAGTTATGAAAAGTGTTATTGCGGTTAGAAAATTGTGATCTAAATTTTTTTTTTAAATAAAATAAATTTATAATAACCATTGAAAACAGTTTCTTATAGCTGCTTTAAGAAGACCTTAATGTGATCGGTCAATCTTTAATTTGTGTTACGGGCTTCGTTTTGGAGTGGTGTGGATGGTTTTAGTTAGTGTTGAGTAATCACCTCTTACTTAAGTTTGAGATTATAAAAGAATATGTTAACTTTATTATATATATTTATTCTTTTTGTGCTACGATTTTAAGTAAAATAGATGCTAAATAGTGAGTATAAGAATTGTTTAGAAGATTTTACTGTATTTAAAAAAACAGATTCAGCTTGTTGAGGAAACAGTAAAATAGTTAGAAATAAATTGAAAATCAAACATGTAGAGAAATTTAATTTTATACTTGGATTATTAATATATATAAATTAAAATGCATCTTATAGCTGTTCAGTACACTCAAATATTGACTTAATTCACCAATTTTAGTGATCATTTAAGACAAGCAAGGACTATCTTATAGTTTCCACACTGCCGTCCTGCTTTTATTAAAAAAGATTTACTTAATAACATTTAATTCTTTATGTGTTTACACATCTAACTGCTACACTTTAATTTTTACATAAATGCCACCTTACCTTATGCATGAAAGTATTTCACTTCTAAGAAGTTAAAATAATAATACTTTTTTATACAACATGAAAAATTTGAACGGTATGAATATAGAAATGAAAGTTAAAAGTTCTAAAAATGTAAATAAATGAGAACTGGGAGTTAGGTGTGTAAATACCCATTTTCAGTAAATATCCTACACTCCTTATGGAATTTTGCATGCGAAACTACAAATGATTATTATTAATATCCAATTAAAAACTATATAAAACTACAGAAATTTTCTTAGCAACAAATAATGATCATCTCCAAAGTTCATAATCAGAACTCAAGAGAATGATACAAAGATCATTACATACAGACCAAAACTACGCCGATTGAGCATTTATATGAATTTGAGCATTTTACATATTATACAAAACCATAGACCGAACTTATCAAAATTTATAGTGTATCAGCACCTGAGTTTCATTAATATGGTACAAATATATATATAGACTGGATTTACTAGTCATGAAAATATGAGAATTAGGAATTTTTCATTTGGAATCATCATAATAATGTGAAAGGTTTCAGAAGTTACTTATCTAGGGCTTTCATAATAGAGTCAGGAATAGCATATTCAATTCCTCCGCATGCTTCGCAACTATGCCTCCTCTCCTTTGGAGAAAATATCAAATCAAAATCAATTATCAGTAGCAGTAAATCAGAGAAAACTTTATGGGGAATTTACATGCATAACCAATTCCCATCCATTAACATATTTAACACTTAAACACAACTTTTTTTTTTTATATTTATGCCACCCACCAAAATCTAATCTTTCATATCACCTAAAAAAATGTCACCACACAAGCGCGCGCACGCACACACACACTCTCTCTATATATATACATATTAAAGTCAATGTTTTACATAAGTAAATACATAGGAATTAGATAGCATGTAAATCTAAGAAATTTTTATACTGCAAAAAGTCATAGTAGAACTTCAAAATTTTCATATAATATATAGCTACATTAAATTTGTTTTCAGATATAGAGAAGGCATATTAATGAAGGGCTTGCTTGAGATTAATTTTATTTTAAAAATAAAATTTTTTAGTGATTTCTTTATTATTATTTTTTTCTTTTAATAATGAATCAACTTATTATTAAAAATACTCAAAACAACTCAAAATATTTTTTAAAAATAATTATCACGACCAAATATATTTTATTCTAAATCAAATCATAAATAAAATAAAAAAAATGGAAAAAAAAAAACAAGATAAATTAATTACATATTAAACTTTTTTTTTGGTATTTACTTATTTAAAACCTAAAGTTTGATATTTATATTTATACTACTTTGGTGCCACAAACCTATGTATTAAAATGTATATTTCCCTTATAAATAGTTAGTTGTTGAGAGTATTGAGGGTTATGCATGTAAATCTGAAAGTAGTTAGAAATGTAAATACATAAGTAGTATGTGGTATGTATGCAAGTGCTTCAAAACAAAAATGATACCCAACAGCGCCTAAACATTTGGCATCAATGAGAAAAATGCACCATAGATACCACTCAGACGAATAATAATAACTAGCAAGATTGAGAGAAAAAAAATCAAATTTGATGAAATTATAGCCTGACATGAATAAAGAAATCATGAGAAATTTGTTTACCCGATTACTGATGGAAGAATTTGCTTTATTCTCTCCAAATGGTTATGGCATTGTTTGCATCGCTGAAACCTGTTGTTCAACATGCAGAGAGTTAATGGTATAATCCCCAAAGAGAGGAATGAGGTTGAACAAGATACCTTTCTTCAGCATGAAGATCAACTCCAACAAACGAGGAAGCTGATATGGTCGACGAGACTAACTGACCGAAGATTTTAACAAGATCAAAGAGCATTTCGAGGGACACAATGATATGCCTGTTACATTAAAAGCCTAAGAAGCCTGATAAGACAATAAATACTAATTAAATACACCTTTTTTTTTCCTATAAAGTGTCGAAATAACACCCTAACTGTTTATATGGGGTGGTCATTTTAGTCTCAAAGTCTTTAAAAATGTCGAATTAGTTCCTAGACTTTTTAAAGATGTCAAATTCGTCCCCATTTTAGTCGTCTATGGGGACTGTTTCAGCCCACAGTAAAATTTTGGGGACTAAATGGGGCCAACCTAGAAGACTATTTTGGCATTTCTCTTATTCTACTACATAACTGTACTATTCATGATTTACTGCTACCAAATACAAAAAAGGTTAGAAATTTATTCCAGAGATACCTTTCAGTCTTGCTGTTTACCAATCCATGAAGCAAAGGAAGCAAGCAGGAAAAAAGATCTAGAGTGAAGAGGTCAATTTTGCCCCTGAGGACACTGACCAAATCAACTTGAACCTGTGAATCATATTGAAAAGGTCATCAATAGCAGGTGAATTGTTACGCTGAGGAAACTAATAGTAATTATTTGGAAGATTTATATACATACCATTCAATTCCTATGAATCTAGATATCCACATATCTACCACCTTACCTATGTATGAAAAGGTGTATTTCACTTTTTAAAAGTTAAAATAGTGCGATCATTTATGTGATATGAAAAATTTGGATTGTAAAAATAATAAAAAATAAAATCTAGGTGTTATATATGTAAAAACATAGGGGAATTGTGTGAGTGACCCCTATTATTTAGGCATAGTTATTAAGGTGCTAGTGCCTTGGTGTCCTGAGCACTTTAGGAGTGAGACCTTGTGCATCGAAAAAGGAGATTTATATTGACAAGTAATGCGCTTTGTTATGTGTTAGGCCCTACCGAAGACCTCTTATATTTCAAACAGCTTGAGAAAATTGCGTAAAATTTTTATTTGTATAATGTTAGAATTATGATGTACCATAAATATGTTAAAAAGGATGAAAAACTATCAGGATTTATGCTTTTACCTCATTCCTTTTTTTTCTACTAATAAAGGGCAGCAATCTTTAAGCTATTTAAGGAGCCTTCCATCTTAAAACTAAGTTGAAGTTATAACAAGAAGAAATAGAAATTTATAAAGTAAAAAATATAATTACTAACTTACCGAATGGTCAGGTAATTTCACCACTGCATCCACTGCTGCTTTAATACCACTGTATTCCCAAAAATGCCGCACAACCTAAAATTTGAATTTAGTAATTTAAAAATTATAGAAAGCTTATAAGAAACTTACATTATAAAAGCCTCCTAAGAGAACAAGCATTAGGCCCAAGGACAGTAAACTAAAAGTGAAAATTAAGTTAAATTCTTTGAGCACTCACAACCATAATAAATTAACAATATTTTCTTCTATAAATAAATTTCCTCTTTCTATTCGTTTATTTTTGAATCTTCTGTAATGAGAAGAGAACAAAACTTGCATTTTCCAATATGATTTGACAGATAAGCATTTTCAATGGTGTATATAGTATAGCCAATCAAAGGTAGGGTATGAATAACGAATAAATCAAAGAACAGGGGTTGAATTATAAAATGGTACATAAAGAACCGTAGTAATAGATCAAAGCTCAGTAAACCGTTCATTTATTAACACGCCCATTGCATGACATTTAAGCACCATCAATTTCACTTAATCAAACTACAATTAGTTTTTTTTTTTTTTTTTTTTTTTTTTTTTTCAGGTCTTTTTTGGGGCGTGAATACTTTACCTGGAGCTTTGTTAGGCGAGACTTCAGAGAATTTACAAACACATCATGGTTTTGTGACAGTTGATCACAAATCAAATCATCTTCTAACTTCATGTCCCTTACTGACGCTAGAACTGATCCTTTCTGATAGATAAAAAAAAAAATCATATTAACTCGAACAAGACAGGACAGAAATATGTTCAATGGGATAAAAGCTGAAAGACAGTTTTTTTATTCAAAAAAAGGAAAGAAGGATAACAATTTATCATAACTAAAGGTTTCAAACGAAGAACTAACGGTAGCTGAAGGACCAAAACTTTCTCTCCTCTCAAATCTTTCAACAAGAGACCGTGTCTTCCCAAGTTGGACAGCAACTACAAAAGAAATTAAAAATTGTTAAATTTATATAAGAAACCAACATGTAAACACCCTTGCATCCATCAAACCCTTACAACTGGTCAACTAACCTCCCCTAACATATTTAACCGAGCAGTTTTCTTTGCTAGAGCTTGCCAACTCCTCACCTGAAACAGAAAAAAATAATAATAATAATAATTTTTCTCCACATTTCAAGCAGGACGTAACAGTCAATATGGTGTAAGGAGATGAAATATAATAGGGAAATTTGCATACATACCACTCAATTCCTATAAATTTACATATGTGACACCTAAATTTCAATTTTCGCATACGTGCCACCTTACCCATGCATGAAAAGATAAATCTGGCATTTTAAAAGTTAAAATTGTGGTATTTTTTAATTTAATATGAAAAATTCGGGTGGCATAAATGTAAAACGTAACTGTTTGTATTAGACATGTAAATACATAGGAATTGGACGGTAGGTACGTAAATGCCCCAAAAAAACATGGTGATGATTGAAAGATTAGAAGACTATCCTAAAAAAGTAAATCTTATTTGAAGCCAAGCAAGAAATAAGTTGGGAGGGGCACAAAGGAACTTTTATGTGATAAGGTGTTGGCATAGAAATAATACTTCGGTCAGTTTGTACTGTGGCAGGCTGCCGAAGGGACATGATTCCCTCAAATTTCTCTGCAACATATCCGGTATCCAAACAATGACCACCACCGGCTGCTGTTGTTTCAACTGTTCCCAGTTGCTTGGATTTTGAACTTGAAGAACGAAATGCTGTCCCACCCGATTGAGATTGACTGCCACTATCATGAAATGTCGATTGACTTACATGAAATTGATCGCCAGATATTACATCACAAGCCGAGGAATCGGCATTCGAGTTAACAGCTCTAGAACCAGCTGTTTTTTCGCAGTTTACAACACTCCTAGGAACAATGACAGGCATGGAAAGCTCTTGTTTTTTCCGTGCAGCATGCACCTCCATAACATGACCATTTGGTAATAATGAAGAATTTGTGCTTGGGGATATATCCCTAGAAGAACAGTTTGATGAAGTTTCAGTGAACTTAGCAACCCTGGATGCGGTAGAATTCAATGTGGATGAAAAGGGAGAATCGAGTTTTTTTTTAGCAATATGATTGCCCGCAGAGAGTCTTGACTTCGGACCATTTGAAGTCAACGAAACAGTTGCTGAGTAGATGGAATCAGTTTCTTGTAATGGACTTTGATTACATTCATTAGCTTTCTCCCGCATGCATAGAAAGGAAAACATAGAGGAATCAACACTCAAGGATCGAATTATTTCAACACATAATGATGTAGGTTACTTAAAACTAAAGGTACTTACAACTTATTGACAGGTTTTCAGGTTCCCCTTTTGTTTTAACTGCATAACCTACAGCTCCTGTAACCAGCGGTGAATTGCCTTTTGTGCCGCCTCCTACAGGACTATTAGATGAGTTTTCTATTTGACTTGAAATAGGTTCCATTAGGCTATTTTTATTGAGCCCAGGCCCGATGGCGTAAGATCCAATAAGCTGTGATGCAAAAGTTAATTACTCTCACACATAATTCAGAGAAGAAATTAGGGAAATTTACATACGTACCACACAATTCTTAAGGATTTACATATCTAACTGCTAAAGTTTGATATTTACATTTATAACTACTTGTGCTACAAAGCTAAGGATCATAAGGTGCATTTGACTTTTAAAAAGTTAGTAAAGTGGTATTCTGATGTGATGCTAAGATTTGAGTGTTATGAATGTAAATATTATAGTTTAGATGTATACGTAAGAATTATGTCATCTGTACGTAAATGCCCCGAAAAATTAACGTGAATTTTAAAATGAGGATAGTTACCGATATATCTGCAATCCAAACTACAACACGACTTTGATGATGAGAGCATCCCAAAAGCTTTCCTTCATAAATAATTAGGTCAGCCAAGGAAGACCAGCCCATTTCAACAGCATCATGGCATATTATAGGCTCCCAAGATAAAACCTTTCATCAGCGCATGCAAAATGAGGACATTTATAGACTACATAGCGGCTCTTATAAACAAAAGATAAAATTGAACCTTCAAAACTTCATCCAATGCACAGAAAAGAGTTTTTCCATCCGGGTGAAAAATGATAGATCGTATGCCTGTGGCCTGAAAAAACAATGGTCATGAAAACAGGTATAGCATATCAATAAAATTGTATTTTTAAATTCTTAAAATTACAAATTTAAACTTGTCGATGAGTATAACCAAGAAAAACAAAATAATTTGAAATAGTGCCAAATATCAAGCCAAAAAAAGAAAAAGAAAAATATAGTGCATGCATGATAGAAATAAGAAAGGAAAGTGGTGATTGAAAGAATTAATTATGAGGGTTAAGAAATCACCAAATGTGCTCCAAAAGGAGGGTAAAATTGTGAACAGTGCACATCAATTCATCAGCTATTTACAGACATGGTTGTCTAGCATGCTTGTTCTAAAAGCTAGCAAGCATAAATAAATTAAAATAAGTCTTATTTTAGAGCATTTTGCAGTGAAAGATCTATGAGCTGCAAAATAAATCCTTCGGATAAGGATAGCTTCTGATTTGATAGATAATATTACTAAAATACAAACAGTATTTTTTATGATTAGACGTAAAACTTGCTATCACTCCTTAGGCAAACCTGATATAACACATGTTGTGGTAGCAAAGATACAGGGAGCGTGACAAATATATCTTTCAAACTCAGAGTCGCACAAAGATATATGAATTTTTTTAGCATAGATAACACTAAAGGTTTTGTAGACGTTAACTTAGGTGATGTTAATAATAGGAATGCCACAGAATATTTATAATATGGGCAAAACATTTGTGAGTTGGTGTTTAAAATACAAAATATTTTTGCACATTCAATCATTAATTGAATATATTTATGTTAATGAAGCAACAAAAAATGATATTATAAAAAAAATTTTGTATTGACAAGGAAGCAGTATTCTCCTCTATGATGGTAGTGCATTTCATTTTCCACAGAATTCCCTCTCCCATAAAAGGATAAAAATACAATCAGTTTAAAGTAGCATGCCTTTGTGGATACTTCCATGACCTATCCATGATCCAGGGAGAAATTAATAGTACGGGCAATCCAGCATACACGTCGGCCAGTTCAATACTTGTAAACAAATCAAACTTCTGTAACCAAGTTGGCCTCCATGGTTAATTATTAAGGCGTTGCACTGAATTTCAGGGTTATATAATGTAACTAATTGCATGAATGAGAGATTATTAAGATTGTGTAAAGTTTGGTTCATGTTGAAGACTATTTCAATGTCATTGCAGATCCAACTCTGCAATGAGATGATGGGAGTTTCCACATGGCAGCAGGCTCACGCCTAAGAATTTAATCAACGGCAGGGCCCTTGAAATTAACTTTTTAAGACTATGTATATGCAACATCATTGTTCCATATGGTTCCCTAATGTTCTAATATTAAAAAGGTGTCACCCCCATGATTCTATCAAAAGCTATAAGATAAGATCCTTGTAAACATAGAGCAGTAGGTTTTATAACCAAGCCACATAAAATCTTAATTCCTTTCATAATATTTTGTTGATTTCTCTTTTGATTTATTCCTAATAATATCATCAACCTTATCTCAATAATTTGTGGTTAGCTTTATGAATCCTCAGATCTTGTTGAATGCTGCATATCAAATTTTCTCATTCTACTTAGGTTCCAGCCCATACCATGATTTTAAATTGTGAAAATTGGTAAGGAATGAACAGGTTTCAGCCAGATGGATGTGACAAAAAATGTATGAAAAGTTCGAGGCTCCCACAATTCAAGGGGTAAGCATGGCGCAAATAATATAACTCTCTTAACTTCATCAATCATTCTCGTCTTTCTTGACTTGATAAGATAGTTAGTTTTATTATATTCAAATTATGAAGAAGCCCGTCTTCACCACTTCTCACCAGCGAAACCAATAAATATATACAATGCATACCTCGGGACCTGAAGAACCAATCAGCTCAAATGTTTCCAAGTCCCAAAATTTCACAGTTCGATCTGCAGATCCTGAAAATCATTTGAACATTAGCAGGATGTCAAACATGGTCCCATATGCTTCCAAAGGCAAAGGTGGTTTGTTCGGTGAAATATTCTAATTAACCCTATATAATGACCCATTGAGCATAAAAAACACTCCTCATCCGCGAATCAATTGGTCACAAGAAAGAAAAAAGATCGATGCAAAAGAAACAATATGTATTATACGGAAAATTCAACTCATGTGCGTGCAACCATTTACGTGCCCTTTAGATGCAACAAAAAATTGCTCCATTCATGCACAATTTTGAAAAGGTCTACTTGTGAAATAAGAAAAACACAAATGCTGATGTAATCATTGACGTACAAAAAATAAAATGATAAAAGAATGTAAGAAAAAGGCAAACAAACATGAATGAGCACCGATCACACACCAAATAATCAATGTATTACAGAACATTCCAGAGGAAGCACACCTGTAGCAAGAAGAAACTCATGTGGGTGAAAATCTATGCAGCTTATCATTCCTTTATGGAACTTGAAATCATGCAGAAGCTTCCCTGCTGTCAAATCCCATAACTGATCACATATATAAGAAGACCCTTAGATAGAATTATAAGTTTAAGATTTGAATCAATAAATGCGGTAAACTACCTTCACAATGTTGTCCTCTCCTCCAGTGACAACCCATCGACCATCAGGAGTGAATTTGATTGTTTTAATTCCTCGTGTATGACCCTTGTAAGTATGAATGGAACCCTTCTTTCTAATATCCCATATCTTGAGATCAGTATCCATAGAACCAGATGCAAAGAACTCACCAAATGGATGAAATTCAACAGAGGTGCAGCTGGATCTGTGCCCAGTTACAGATCTAACATCTACACTTAAAAATATAAACTCAATTAAAGAAAAAAAAGGTAATGTCATCAACAATGATACTTACAAAGTATCAATATAAAAAAATTGACTAGCAGTAGGAAAATAGAGATGTTGATCTTGTATTTAACGTGTGGATTCTAGAATTATGTAGTGATCCAAAATATGTTTCAATCTGCTATTAATTGATAGGCTGATGAAACAATTAAACAAATTGCAGCTAGTAGTAGTAATTTGCATAAATCAATTGCACGGCACTCACTCTTGCCTTCCTCTAAGTCCCAAAGCTTCATCGTGCCATTAGAAGCTCCCGCAAGAACCAATACTTCAGCTGAATCAAAAGTTACAGATTGGACTGAAGTCGTATGACCAGATAGACTCTGCAGATTTATGTAAAAACAAATTTATTCATATAAAGGACGGCATTATGTGTCCAAGAAACGCAACAAGGCTTAAAGCGTACAATTACAACAAAACAACAGAAAAGCAAAAAATTTAATAAAAAAGTTTCTCAACCATGGAGCCAACTTAAAAGGCAAATAGAAAAAAATTGTTCAACGACACAACAAGCTTATTAGGATTATTCAGATCGTTATAGAAAATACTGCACAATCAAACAGCTGATTTTTAGGATTGAGAGAGAACTACTGATATGATACCTTAATTCTTGTGATTAGTTTTAGAGTTGTATGTAATATATTAATCATCACTAAATAACAAACCATGCCTTGTTTTTAAGGTGTATAGGACGCATTGGATTCTAGATAAGACGCTACCCAGAGATTTCATTCTCATTTAGGAAGTACTTTTTTGTTATGGGGTTTCTCTTAGGCACAAGCTCCTATGGTTAACTACCTCTCCCGATAACGGGAGATCACTTTCGATTAAGGCTAGTTATTAAGAATTGACTATTCAACATATAATAGAAGAAGATTTAAGACTTTAAATTGTAAAATTCAACACTTGAAGATTAAAGCGGATGGTAGGGGAATGAAGACGAAACCAGATCAAGATCCCATGATTTCGTCATCCCGGGCCGTCGTGGTCCCTGATCCACTTAGTTGGAGGTAGTCGACCCAACTTGATAGATTCTTGTCAGTAGTCATGGGTTGCGTTGTAAATCTGAGGTGGATGCTTGTCTAAGGAGACAAATTTAAGTCGATTTTAGCTAAAAGAAGATTTTATGTCAATCAATTGTACCCTTATGGTTCACAACTCAAAAGGTAGAAAATCATTGGAGAACATACGAACTGCGACCATGGCGTAATATAATGATGTCATTTGGCAGCAGCCATCCGGTCAGAGAGCACCGGTCATAACCGCTATTTTGGGGTGTCATTTGACGGCTGAACCACGCAGACAGAGAACTTGGGTCACGTACTTATTGACAAACAATTACTTTGATGGTAAATATAGAGATACATTTATTATGACATTATCTTACTGTGAGCTGAAGGTAAAAAATTTTGTCACACTCGACAAACAGTTGCAGAGGGTGGATGAGATTTTCTTTTAAGTTTTTAGTGATTAAATTTTACTTGAATATTTGGTTGGTTAATTTAACAAATTTTAATTTAGAATATTGATCCCTCCTGGTGAAATATTCAATCAACACGACCATTAGATAAATTTATTTTTGAACATTGTCAACTGTGTCCCGCTTACAATGGATCATGTTCTGTGATATATCTTCTAAATTTATTCAAATAGATTTTGAAACTTAATTTTGAAAATAGACCCCTCCGATTGAAGTTTTTTTAATCAACACGATCATCATAAGGGTATTTAAGCTTTTAAAACTTATATATTTGGAGTGAGAGCGTCTAATTTTATCAAATTTAGACTTTTAGGATATAAGTTCTGCCGTCTCCTGTTTTTTATGAGAATGATCGGACTAGTTTGGTGATTTGAGCTTGTAAACTCTTATTTCAAGATTTAAACATTTATTTTAAAACTATTAGAATCCTCAACTCCAGTCCTTATTAGGAGAAGAATTGGAATAGTGGGGTGGGACTTACAACTCAAATTTATTGAAAATGCGACCCAATTAGCCCGCGCAACATTCTCGATCCTCATATTTCAGCATTCTATACGTTGGTTGGAGCACATGCAGACATTTATTTCATATATTTGAATAGCTTAAAGAGTTTAATAAACTTTAAAGACTTGCATAAACTTTAAGCCATAAATTTAATATGGAATTTATGTTAAGAAGCATATGCAAGATTTTGAAAATCTGCAATTGATTTGCTTATATAAACACCCTAAAGCCTGCATAACTCAAGGATAGCTCAAGTGGTGCTCATTTAAGTCTTAAGAGAAGGCTAACATTTCAAGATTTCTCATTGGATTTAGGAATAACAACAATTCTTTTTTTTTTTTAAATCGTTTGAAGCTTAAAGTATTTGTAAAGAATTATGATGTTAAATTTTAAAAGAGACCGAATTTTGTTTGCTAGCAGGAGTATAACGAATACGGTGGCGAAGCGATTAATTTCAAAGTTTTAATAAAGATCCATATTTGAATTATGTTTCGCTCTCCCCTTAAGAGCCTAAGTCTGAATAATTCAATTTTGAATTGGTTTCCAAGCTGTAGGAGCTCCAGTCTGAAAAGCTTAATCATTTAAAATATTTTCAAATTTATGAGCTCAAGTTTTAAAAAGATCCAAATATTAATATTTTAAACTTTGAAAACTTATTTTTTAATATTCCAAGAACTATAAAGTTTTAAAACTCTAGGAGCCTAAATATTTTAAAGCCCGAACTTTAAAATATTTTAGAACCTAAAGAGCCTAAATTTCAATCGTCTGAGACTTTAATACTTTTAAAATCCTAATAGCCTAGATTTTAAAAGCTTGAAATTTCAAATTATTTTGAAATTCCACTTGATTCATATTTTATTTTTATTTTATAAAACCAAAAAATCTTTATTTATAAGTCCAAAATTCACCCAAAAATATGGCAGTCCCCTAGCGTCAACACCCGTTTGGGGGCACCGGAGGATGCCAACCTTCCCAGCTATCTTAAAAGACGAGTTAATCGATGAAGTGAAACACTGCGGCCATTGAGCAAAAAGTATAAACTTAATCTGCAATCTTAGAATACACAACGAGCCTTCAATGTGCCTGTACAAAAGGGTTAGCTCACAACCAATATTTCCCGAGTAGTACTTTGTTTTCTCTGAACGGTGCTCAATTTCCCATGAACAGATATTCACTTTCCCACGAGTGGGTACTTTAAAATATTCATTTTTTTAAAAAAGATTTTAAAAACGAGTTCGCGTTTTTCCTCAAGTGATACTTAATTTCCCCATGAACAGGCACTCGCATTTCCTCGAGTGGATATTTTAAAAAATTTTCCTACATTGCCACAAGAAATATAGATTTCAAGCCCAACAGCATTGATGGCGACGATGACGACAAATATAAAAATAAAATTAACAGTGCAACATTTCATCTCAGATTTTCTTTCTTTTTTTATACAACATACAACATGAAATAAAACACAAACACTAAACTTATAAGTAAATAAACAAAGGAAATAAACCACTATTATTGCGCTTGGGTCAGTGCATTTGGGTATCGCAAAGATGCAGAAAATTTAATTCAGGCATATGACTCAAATGGGAATTCTTTGGGTTTGCATAAAAAAGCTTTCCTTCATTTGATTAACATGAGAAGTAAAGCAGATTAGGGCAGAGGCTGGGCTTGGGATTGCGTGAGAATAAGATAAAGAAGAGCTTGAACGAAGGCTTCGGATTTCAAGCTAGGGCACAGTGATAGAAGGTTGTGCGACAGGGAGGAGCTCTTCAAACTCACGCACAAGACAGACCATACAAAGATGATCGCGACTTAGGAGGTGCGACGGGGAGTGCAGTTTGGTGCGAAGGCTAGAGCAGAGGATCGCACAAGGAATGAGAGTCATGCGAAGACATTAGTGAAAAGTATATTGTGACACAAGGAAGAAGAACCATAGGCGCATCAGGATAGGGCAGGGGCAGAGTCAGCGGCAAGCAATCTTTTACGGCAGGGAGGAGTCGGGCGCTGGGAGATCGGATCGCAATAAAGGCAATAAGGCTTCTGTCATGTGTAAATTTTGAATAGGGAAAAAGAATGGGAGGGTTTGGAAGGCCAAGGCAATCATGTGTATGGTGAAGAAGATAAAATAATGTGAATGAAGTAAAGGGATGGTGACTTGCATTGCACGACCTTCGAATCAGAGAAGAAGAACTAAGCAGGGAGGGTCACAAAAGAGGAAAAACGAACAAGGTGTAGGAACAAAAGGAACTGACAAGAAGACAATGTGCGAATGAATGAGCGAGGGGTTTCTTTCGTCTGCTTGTAATTGAAGGGAAAGCGGGAACAATTATACCATCGAGTGGGCTCCAACAAGCGGGAAGAGTTAAAAAATTAATTAATTAATTTTAATTTTCTTTTATCCACCTTTTTTTAAATTTTTTATTTTACAGTCAACAAGTGAGTTAACCATAAATAATATTTTGTCTTATCTTTTAGTCACGAATGAAGTATGCATTTCCCTTATATGTTTTGCATTTCTTTTTTAATAGTCTGTGTTATGTTATCTACCTTGCCCACTACTACATACCCCATTCTTAGGCTTAGCCACCATAATATTTTCCACCATCCTTAGCATGACTCCAACATTTTAGTTGATGATCCCTTTGTCTACATTGTTAATTGAAGTCTCTCATGAAATTTTTCAGTGTTTCATGATCCTTGCTAGCAATGTTAGAAGAGGCTTTAATCCTCGACCTCTCACACTGCCACCACCATTTTGCATTCCTTATCATTATGATATCAAAGCTAAAATGGATTAATCATATTGGTAGCAAAAATAGCTTGATGGCCTCCTTCTCTTTCTTAAACTAATTTGTTGAGTAAAATCAAACTCACAAGTCACATCAGTTGTTTGTTATCTTAGCTTTGATTCCTCCTTGGCTTCTTTTTCATCTACAATTAAAATAAAAATAATCTCCTCCTCAAACAAAGAAGTTTGGAAGTTTAAGTTCAATCTCCAATGAATATTAGTTTTACGAGGAGTTGTGCTTATACTTAGTGGAAGGCAATCAAGCCAACAAAAATTAGAGTTTGAACCAATCCGACCCAATGATTCTATCATTTCCTGCTAATCTAATTGGTCCCTTGGTTCCTTTAGTTAGAGATTCCATCAGAGACACTAACACAGAATATTGATTTTGTGAAGAATAAGTGTATGGTTTCTCTAAGAGCAAAGACAAAATTATTAAAATTAACTTCTCTGAAAGACAGATTCCCTATAAAAAAAAAAATTCATTAAGATATATAGAAACTTAGAGAAAAATAGAACACCAAATAATGGAAAAGAGAAAAAACAAAACTCTTTCGAGATGAATGATTGCAATAGATTTTGTGTTCATGGATAATAATGTGAGTTTCAAGATTTATACTTACAATGAGTTATGTTATTGACATATTATATACATAAAAATCAGAAAAAGTCACAACATCTAATAAATCATGCTACTATAACTTTTGGAACTGATTGGATGGATAGTGACAAAGTGTTGAGAACATCTTCATTTTCTCTACATGAAACAAATCCTCATCTATGTTCTTTAACCTCCTGCAATTCTCAATGCCATGATTGTGGTCCTATTGAGGTTCATAATATTAGGATTGTTTTCGTAACCTGCAACTGCTTCCTTTATTTTCCTGATTTTGGAGTAGACTATCTTCCTTATTTTTTTCCTTAAATTTGATTATGAATTGGCTTGAATCAAACAATTTAAAAGATGAAGAAATATTTCAAAATCTCAAAATATTTTCATAACACATAAAAAGCTAAAAAGATTTGTTGGTTATATCATAGATCTGTTAGCCTTATTTCAATACAAAGATAAAAAACAAAATAAAAAGCTTGAAAACCATTTATATTGTAGCAGGTTTGTATTTTAAATTATCACAGTTGTAAACTTGTATGCATGTATCAAATTATGCATTCATACAAAGGTCATAGAATCCTAGATGGGATGGTATGATATCAATGATCAAAATAGCAATTCATCTAAGGTTAGTGGCATAGTTCACAAAAGATAGAAATGTGGACAAAAAAAAAGCAAAAAGGATCGTAAAAAATTCATTGAAGTTTGAACTAACCAGCAAAGATTTTGATGAATCAAAGCCCCACAAATTGACCGCACGGTCACTACCACCAGTGACAAAAACTCTACATGATTTCTTTCCAATATTTAAACAGTTTACATCACTTGCATGTGCGACAAATTCTTCTGTATTCAAAGTCAAGTAAAAGAACTATATAAAGAAGATTGCAATCTATTTCAAAGGCCACCATTTTAATTATTTAATGTATGGATAAAAGTGAAGTCTTAATTAAATTCTGCAACATTATTCTTTTGCATTTTCATTTTAACTAAGGTGTCAAATACCTTGATAGCTATATTGGAAAAATCATTTCATAAATGACAGCATTTTGCATGCAGAAGTGCAGTTTAAAAATGAAAGAAATCTTTCACCGCCAATGAAAAAATGCATATAGCATGCAAGCAGTATTGCCTGAATCCGAATCAATTAGTTACCCTAAAACTAAGATAAGGAAATCCTTATTCAGAATATTTCAATTGTTAACCTTAATGATGTGATTTCATGCATTGTGCAATAGAAAACATGAGATGAGCTGGGTAATCTTAGCTTGGTTCCCAAAAGGGGGGCAGTAAAGCTTCTCAATAACATCATAAAAGTGGCCTGAACTCAGATTGTTCATTAAGACTATGACAAAGACTGCGGGACAAGCAATTCACAAAAATGTCAAACAGAATGGTAGTAAAATTACAAATTCTCACCTGACCCTTTTAACAGACTAACATGTAGTGAAACAAAGATTGCTCCAAAACTAAAGCAACAACAACAACAACAACATGCCTTTATCCAACTAAATGGGGTCGGCTATATGAATCCTTTTTCTCCATTGTGCCCTATTGAGTGACATATTTTCATTTAATTTTAATAGATTAAGATCATTTTTTATACAATATGCCCAAGTCTTTTTAGGCCTACCTCTGCCTTTCTTCACATAAGTCCAATCTAAAACATCTACTGTCCTGACTAGATCATTAGATGTCAAAGTTTGATGTCACCATACCATCTAAGATGACTCTCTAATCTTGTTCGCCACTCGAGCTACACCAACCACATCACGGATACATTCATTTTGCACTTTAATGAATAAGCATGATAAAAAAAAACCTAGGACATGCAATGCGATGGAATTTCGAACAGAATAACTGGTGAAACTACAAGTTCTCAGTTGCCTTACTCCACAGAATTATCTAATTCACCGTCAACAGACTACATCAATATACTAAAGTTGATACAAGCTCCGCTACTAGTTCAGTGCTTCAGATTCCAAGGCATTCCTACTCGCATGATTTTTTGTGCATATAGTAGAGGTTCTAACCTTTGGAACTTGCCCTAAGCACTAGAAACTCATTCTTTAATCATGGCAAAGCAAACTATCTCACATTTCCATGATTGGGACAGAGATTCCTACGAGATTACTCATGTATTTCCAGATTCCATACAAAAGCCTCAACATAGAATAGCACTGTGAGAAGATTTTACACCATGAATTCAGCATAAGTTAAACAGATCGTTCTAATCAAGAAAATAAAACCGCAGCAACCAAAATATCTCCTCCCAGTAAATAACTACAATAGTAAACCCTAACAAAATTCATCAACCTAAACCTGATTAAACAAACTTTAAAAACACCGGTGACGTACAAAACTCAACCAACAAATGCCGAATGAAAACCAAACCACACCATCAGCGAAGCGTAAACAACCGGGAAGAGCTACTCAACATCTCAACGCCATCCAAGAATCAAATAATCATCACAAGAACAGCTATGAAATTGCAACGGAAGAGATAAACCGGTATGAAAGCCCAATCTAAGGCAATCTACAAAAGGATACGAAATTTGTAGCCCCGCTTCGCCATTCCCACTCAAATCGAGAGCTCTGCCAGTGGATCTTCTAATGGAGCTTCCACGTTCGAATCGAGTTAAGCTCTTTTGAATCCAGTGGGAAAGCTTCGCTGCTGAGATGGAAGAGGGGGAGAGAGAATGGGTGAGCGCGGAGCGGGGAGCGGGGAAAAGGGAAGAGGTGAAAGGAAAGACCGGGGTTAGTGCAGTCGTGCACGCAGTCCTGTCCCCTTTATATCTGACCGGAAAAAGCGGTTAAAGGTCACGTAAAAGAAAATGTTACCGTGGACAAATACTAAGAAAATTTAAGGATTTATTTGTGTGGTATTTAAATATAATATAAAATTATATTGAATTCTAATTTATCCTTGAATCACTTTGAAGTAGTAGTAACAAATAGAGTGAAAAGAGAAATTGAGAGATCAAAAGTAGAGCGAATAGTAATGAATAATAATTTAACTTTTCTATTTCTTATAATAATCTCTCTATTTATAAATAGGAGGCCACGATATAGTGATATTACATGTTTATTTCTATTTTAATTGAAGCTCTGCAAAAAAATTCGACATATTTTACATACATGAGCATATTGTTTGACTGTTCTTAGACTAGGCCAACTATTTGACCTAGACTCGGTAAGGCAAATTTGGTTAGCTAGGATGAGTTGATGTTGTTAGTCGGCTTATCTCACTTGGCTTCGGGTCGGCATAATTAAATTTAACCAACTGAGCATTGTTGATCGGTTGATCTAGTTTGGTTGTCAGACCTCGACTCCAGATGAAGAGCTCATGTTGACGGAATGTGACCCGAGGGCGAATTAAATAAATAACTCATTTCTTAACAAGGAGAACCTGTGTGATGACTTTGAGACTCTAATTTATTATTAATTCTTGATCCCTAACAAGGATTCTCGAAAATTCACATTTTATCGAATAAATTTTATTTATTACATATCAAAAGTATATAAATACAAATATTTGAAATTTTAAATATATTACTTAGGGGAGAAACTATATAAACATATGTTGTTGGACTACATAACACAATAATATTTAATATAATGATATTTACCCCCTTATGAATGATTATATTGAAATTGAATGAAAAGAGCATATGAATGAAATATAATATATAGTATACTTGTATGTGAACGATTAGCTATAATGACATTTACCCCCTTATGGTACTGATCGCATGATACTAAGTTACTCATGCATGTAAACATAAAAAGTTATTTCTATTGAATTATCTTAAATGATACAATTATAAAAGATGTTCGTGTGACAAATATGTATAAAATGATGCAGATATGGAAATGATATAGTATGATATATTACCGTTTTAGAAATATATTGATAAATCATATTCATAAATATAAATGGACAAATACTATTTTAATTTGTTGATTTTTTAAAAGTGTAAGTGGCATCTATATATTTATTTTCATCGTGTTATTGTGGTTTAAGAATATGAGTATTGTAACTGCCCAACTGTATTCTCGTATTGGTTAATTCTAAATTGTGGACTAGGTCGTGACATTCGGCCCTCACATGTTCGTTCAAGGGTGGATCAGGCTCAAAAGGATGGTAATTCTTATATGATCTTTCACTTTTGCAAGTACACGAGGCTTATGCTATGTCAACTAATATAGTTTGCAACATCATCAAAGCGTAGGTCAACTAAGAAATTATTTTTTACCTGCAAATATTTTTAGAGACGCTTATTTCTAAAATGATTATCAATACTATAACTTTATTTATATTTTATATCTTTATCAAACCTTAATATATATTCTCATAAAAATATGTTTGTTATGACAAAAAAATAAAAATTTTAAAAATGAAAAATGAAAAAGCCAAATAACGAATATAAATACATAATCTCAATTATGTATTTTGCCCTATGGGATTGGTACTCGAGTGATTTTGCACGTTAGGGTTGACCAGGACTAGTCTAATAGCCTCGGGCACTCATTTTGAATAATAATAATAAAACGTACAAATTGTGAACTGCAATAGACTTCGGGTGAGTTTGGGGCAGTTTGTGCGTTTCAAGATAAGCAGTTTATCCTAAAACGCAGGTCGTGAGTCGATAACAATGTTCGACCTACTGCCTGAATTTAGTATAAAAATGAAATCACAATTTTAAATTATAGAACAAAACACGGAAATTAAACAGTACCGTTATGTTTTTAAAAACACCCTCACATTTATAAACTACCCCCCAAACGAGCCTTCCTGTCACTTTTCTCTACACGACTAATGGCGGAGGTTGCAGGGATGCGCTGAACCTCATACATGTGATGGTTTACAGACACGAGTAATGACACAAACACAACTAAGAAAAAAAAGTGATATTTAGTACAGATCACAAAACAGCGAAATTAGCCGCTCGAGTCGCGAACAGATGTCGGCCTTGATTTAGGATGCGATGCCGATAAAAGGAGGCAAATGGGGGCACGGCTATTTCCGAACAGGATTTGATGCTATCCATCCAAATGATGCCACGTGGAAATTCCAACGCCATTTATATTTTAAGAGCAGCGTGCAACCATCATTCCATGTTTTTATGAGGAACATAGCTCGATTTGATAGTTAGCTTTAATTTATTTAATTTTATAAATATTTGTGCGTGTGTTTTTATACAATAAATTGGAGGGAGCAATATATTAGCATCACAGTGTTGTACGATAATAACAAACACGAGTAAAAAAAGAAAGTGATCGAACAGACAATGTAAATTTTTTTACGTGAAAACCTAAATGAGCAATAATCATGGTGTTTGACCTATTCAAATGATTCCACTATGTCGATATTTGTTACAAAAATTTATCAACTCTTGAATACCTAGAAGTAATATTACACAAGTACGATATGACTTTCGCTTAGGAAGTGATAGAAAACGCGGAGGATGTGACGGTGATCTAGTTGTTATGAAGAGAGGTTGAGTGCCAAAAAAGTCTTCCTCCTATGTCAGAGGTAGCGGCGATGACAGTGGTAGTCGACAGTGGATGTTCGATGGAGGCGATGACGATCCATCGGTAGTGGCGGTGCGATGACGGCGACTGAGCTATGGTAGTCTAGCAGTCGCATTCGTCTGGTTGCGGCGACGGTGATTTGACAATGGCGACAGACGGATAGTGGTAGCCCAACAACGGTGGTCTAGCGCCCAAGCGATGAAGGTCTGACAACGTTGGTCAATTATGGCTGCAACTCAATTGTGGTGGTCAGACAGTGATGACAATGGTGGTGGCTTGACGATTGACCAATTGTGTTCTAACAACAAAGGAGGCTCAACAGTGATGGTCGAGCAACAACGACACTGGTCTGCAGGTGGCGGCAGCTAGTCGATAGCAGTAGGTGTTGGCGGAGCTTGAGAATACTCAAGAGCTTGGAGCTCATTTAGTTTCTCTTCCAGGTCAAAGCCTCCATTCACAAAGAAAGCGGAGGTTTACTTAAATTTTATGAGTGACATGCTTCGTAAATATTGCATAAATCCAAACCACTTCATTAGGACAGCCTAAAGTGATTGTTTCGATCATATGGTGTTTTATTAGCATTAAATGCCTTAATAATATCAAAATTAAGTGATATTGAGCTTGTTGGATTTGACTCGTCGAGATACTCGATCTAACTACAAATTTATCAGACTTAAAGATCATTTAATCTCTCAAAATATATTAGGCTCACTTGAACTCGTGACGGATCGATTTTGATGTGATCCAGTTCATTTTCTGAGTCCCTTCACCAAACCATCATACTTCTGTTGATCACTCTCCATAGATTGCCACATTAACATTCTCCTTCCCCATCACCACCTGCTCCTCATAGATTCCGGCCCTCACAAATAGGCTATAGCACATTCCTTCCACTATTTGTTTGGCATCGCAATCATCGCTTGTTCTATAACGTCTCTCTCAGGTGGTGGCATGCTTCATCGGTGATCGAAGCTCGAAGGCCATCGCCGGTTTTGTGAGGTAGAGATGTGCTGTTTCCAGCGAGATTACGATGCAGTCAAGGCCGAGAACCGATAGGAACTTCAAAGAAACCCCGACAATGGCGAGGTCATCGCTTGTTAGCTGCTTGCCAGTTTTCATGGCTTCCTTCATCTTGGATTTGTCTTCCCAGGCAGGACATGCGTCTATGCATATCTGTTGAAAGATACTTGATATATGATAACAAAGCAATAACAGTCAGCATTAGTTCAGTTCATCTAAAATCAAGACATCTTATTACACATATGTCAAGATCAAACTAATGAGAATCTGGTAAAGATGAAATAAATGTTTACGATATTGAGATTTGAGTGAGAATTTGCAAAATGGATGAAAGAGGGTGCTTGATTTGTAAATACTAATGTTTCAGGTGGTCTGTATGTAATTGGCCCCCCAAAAAAATAACAAAGAACCATAATTTACACCTAGTTAGCTCACAAAACTGAAATTTACAGAACAACAATCATAATTCTCAAAAACCATATTATACAACATGTTCAAATTCCAAAACATAATACAACATTGATAAATGTTAGTTACTGACACCTTAGATTCCACACCACACCTTATAACTCCAAACCAGCCTTTTTCCTACAAAAGAGAGAATTTTACTCATTTTCATCTATCCAATCCCCGTAAATCCTACTGATCTTATCTGGCCCTTTCCAGTTCTGAACAGGCCTTTGAATCTGTCTTTGATTCGCCATTGTTGATCTTTGTGCAGGAACTCCGACGTGATAAACTTCGCCATGAGGAATGGAGATGCTCGACGCCGCTACGACGTCGGTTACAGTCTTCGTCGCCGCACTGGCCTGCTTCAAGTCCATTCCAGTTGCCGAAGAATCCCTCGCTTCCATTTCTACCAACCCTCCACCATATCTATGGAGCTCTGCAGAATAACAAATCATTTCCAATGAAGATAAATATATATTAATTGTACAGTGGAATTTACATACATACCAATAACTTTTATGCATAAATTTTGCCTTTTACATTTATATCATCCAAATATTTCATATCACATAAAAAAATATCATTATTTTAACTATTAAAAGTGAAATACTAATTACAAATTCTAGAAAAGTCTAGTCCATTATACTAATTACACATTTCACATTATTATTTATTTACCATCTTCTAGGTAAAATTTTCGCTTCTAGTTTCTGTTGCACAAGATAAATCCTCTTAATTGTTTTAAGGAATGTTATCTTCAACAATATTATATGAATTAATCCCATAATCTGCTTAATAAATACATTACGCAATCTATTGTCCTGCATTTTACATCGTATTAAATTTTTCATGCCATACAATTCTTATGCATTTAAATATCTAACACTTAAAATTAGATATTTAATTACATAGCGCTTTATTATCTTATTGACATCAAAATTTATGCATAAAAGATGTATTTCACTGCAAAAAAGTTAATATTCGTGGTACTTTGATCTGATTTAAATATTCGAGTATTATACAAATAAATATCGAAATACAAGTATAGACATGTGAATATATAAGAATTACATAGTATATATGTAAATCCCTCTAATAAAATTTACTTTTAAATGTCTATCATATTTGTGATACACTCCGGAAACAAAAACAGAGTGCAAAAGAGGCGGGATAACTCAAATGAGAGCTGATTTAATTAATACCAACAAAAACAAATAAGATAAAACGTTGATTTACAAACCCTAGATGTCGCTAAGAATATGAAGAGAAAAGAGCTGACATAAAAACCAACCCAAGATAATTAGCCCTCATAAATACTTCTCCAAGATCCTCTTTTAAACTTTCCCCCAAAAACCCACATTGATTCCCCTCTTACGTGATTGTGATTAGCGATTGTGTGAATACCACCCGACCGTTGAAATCATGCTTACCCTCTCCCAGACATCCCGATACTCTATGTTGGGTTGGCAGGGTCTGACTAGTCCAACTTAGACCGACATGTCGTCTATAAGGACATGACTAGAGTTCTTTATCTGCGTGGTCTTGCCGCCAAAAGGCACCACAGAAGCGGTTATGATCAGAGCTCTCTAACCGTATGATTTACTGCCAAATGACTTTCATTATATTATTGTCACAACTGTAACTCATATGTCCCCAAATGATATTTTGTCCTTTTGAGTTATGACTCACAAGGTATATTTGATAGGGTCTGCTTAGGGATTTCAAAAAAGATCATGTTCGCGAACAGCTCGTGTTTGAATCATTTGTTAAGTAAAATAGGCCAGCATAAATAATCTTTTTAAACTCAAATTATAAACTAGTCAAATACGAACAACCCTTTGTTTAAATCACAACAGCTCGTGCAATCATGTAGTTATGCATCTTCTAGTAAACAAAAGTGGCACAGGTTCAAATCTAATACCCTACATCTATTTTTTTAATTTATTTAAACGAACCAATTTCGAAGTAGCCGAACACGAGCCAAGCATGAGCTCATTTGAGTTTGGCTTGTTTACAAACTTATATTTGTTAGCTAAGGTTGGCTTAAATTAGTCCTCATAGACAAATATCACCCCAGGTCTACAAAGTCCATTTGGACGAAACAATCGATCGTTGCTAACAATAATCCTTATGTTAGGTTGGGTCAAACACCTCTGCTAATTATACCAGAGTCCGCGACGCAACGAGATGATAAAACCATGCGATTTTGACCGGGCGCGTCATCATTTCCCTCACCATTCGCTTTTTAGCTCATAATGACGGTTTTATAAATTCATAAATCTTAAATATGACTGCTACTATACACCAAGCAACGTCGAGCAATCAACTTCCTAATGACTAACCTTAATCGAAAGTGCTCTCCCGCTATCGAAAGAGGTAATTAACCATAGGAGCTTGTGCGAATGAGAAATATCAAACCTCAGATCTTAAGTCCTCGCAAAATGATGGCGGAATATATCAGTGTGTTTTATCTACTATCTCAACTGCATTTTGAAAATTCAACCCAAAACCTCACGATAAACTTCCCTTCATCTCTCACCTTTCGAGAGAGGTCGAGGCATTTTCAAATTTTTGAAGCTCACAATTTCAAACCTATTAGTTTGATTAATCAAATGATCATAAATAACTTCTTATTGAGCTGAGTAATTAATTAAATGAACATTAATGAGTTCTTATCGAACCAATACCCAAGAAACTTATCAAACACTCAATTCATTTGCTGCTCTAGTAAAAAGCGATTGACTCCATTCAAATTCGTTTAGAATAAATTCTCATAATAAAGTTGTATCTAAACATCCAAAGAGGAATAAGAAAAAATCTTGATAAAGTGAAGGCAGTCCTTTGAATGCTTGCACTGTGTTAATCAATGAAGGAGATACAGAGGTTAACAAGGTAGCTGCAATGCTTAGCACATTTATTTCAACGCCTAGAAAAGCATGCATCATTCTTTCTAGAATAGAAAACTGTAAAGAACTTAAAGTGGACGCCTATATGTAAAATAGCATTTGTGAAAATGAAATAATACATTGCTTCTGCACTATTGTCAACATGTCCAAAAACCGTGGAAACATAACACTTCATTTGAAAATTTAAAACAATTATCATCTCAAAATTTATAAAAAGATGGAACATAGGTGTCATGATGACATAATTGCAGCCATAATGTAAAAATAGTGGTGCATAGTTTCAATTCCTCCCTCCCTCCTCTCCTCTTCTCCTCCCTATCTCACAACTAGCTCCCTGCCATCTCCACTTTCTTATTCTCTCTCTTCTCCTCTCCTCCCGTTTTTCTTTGTCACAATCCCACTATATCTTTCTAAGCTTCACTAACATTATAAGCAAGCACTTCATGCTTGATCCTTCAAGGTCACTAAGAGATCTTTCACCCATCGAATGCAAAGAGCACAAAAAATCATTTAATGTGATACAAATACACATCCATAAAGTGTGATTAAATAAATGTTGTTATTGTTGCTTTATTAAAGTCACAAAGGAGCGGCATGTCCATCGTTTTATCATTATATAATTTGCATATGCCGAAATTAAAATTGCGCCTTGTCAGATTTTTTTAAGCTAAGCAGCTAAAAAGTATAATAAACAAGGAAACAATCTTAATACCAAACAAATGCCTGCTTTCGGTATAACAAAACTCCCCAAAAGTAGGCATGAATATAGATATAGATATATTATAATGATAATAAAGAAAAGTTAAATAATGTACATGTCTAGCAACTATGATAAGTAATGAGTTCTTTGACATAGAGAATACATGAGTATTACACTTAGCATTCACATTTAATGTGAAAGATCACAATCAGATACTCCATATAATCTGGTAGAGAAATTTAGATAAATACTAAGATGAAAAGTATAACCAAAACACAATTCAACCATACCAACAGAAAGATAACAAATGTTACCTGTAAAAATATCCCATGTCTTAGTTGCATGCACAAGATCAATAAGCTGTAGTCCTATAAAAGGAACAACACCCTCAAATGTGCAGATTTTATAGTTATCATAAACCACCTAGAAATTGAAATACTAGATAGTCATATAAAATAACAAGAGAGCATTATTATCACATTGATACGAAATATACTATCCAAATAAAGTCAAAATGCCAAAGCTCGATTGCCTTTTTTTTTTTTTTTTATTTTGCTTAGCAGTCCTCTGATAAAAGTAAAAGTGCCACCAGAATGTGACGAATTGAATAATTACCAAGCGACGATGCTTTCCTACTAAACCTTTGTCTCCATCACTCCTCTCCATCTTCACCCCTCACTCATTATCACTCTTCTCCTCCTCCCCACTCACTTCCTATTCCTCCTCTCAATTCCGATTTATATCTTTTTATGCTTTCCTAATTTCATGTCCAAGCACCTCAAGCCCACCTCCTCCTCTAAGCTCACGATGAAGATCTTCCACCTATCCTATCCAAACACTCCACTAGTTCGTTCATTTATACATCTCTCCTGCATCCACTTGAGAAGCACTGTTAAAGTTTAGAGCAAGCCTCTAAGGTGATTCAACTCCAAACCAATAGAGCACGATCGAATGAATAATGCTCTATAAATTTCATGGAGAAGCAAAGAAACAAAAAGCATTAACAATTAAACCACAATCTAATAGTGAATCAATTCTTACTTTCACTCCCAAAAAGATGCAAAAAAGTTAACAACAGACATATTAAGGAAGAGATCCACCATACATGAGGAACCATAAACATCATCAGACCGTGCATGCTTTATAGTTATCATAATCCAGTTCCCATACTCAAATAGATTCAAATCCAGTGACAAGAGAGTCGCATCATCACATCTTCAGTTGCATTAAACATAAAACATATATTATGACTAAAGGTGTAACGTAGCCGAGTTCACTCGTGTGTAAGCTCGAGCTCGGCTCAGCTAAGCTCGATGAGTTAATAAGCCAAATTCAAGCCAAGCACGACTCAACTCATTAGATCGTGAGACAGTTTGTTTACAAAAATATTTAAATAAAATATAATGAAAATATATTAAAATTCAAGATTTTTTTTAAAATTATTGTATATCTTATATCAAATAATTTCTTATTATTTATCCCCTAACTGGCCATCTTATTTTTTATCTTATTATAACACTAGCAAAAAATAATATTGTTTTCTCTATTTCATAATAAACAAGTCAGCTCTAACTCGTATACTTAAGCTTAAGTTTGAACTCGTAGACTTAAGCTCAAGCTTGAAATCGATTAACTAGTCAAGCTCAAGCTTGAACTTGATTGACTAGTCAAGCTCAAGCTAAGGGTGGTAGCTTGAGCTCGACTCAACATATTTACACCCCTAATTCTACCCATTAAATGTAGCCAAAAGAAGGTGAGATAAAGACACCAAAAAAAGCACATTAAAAACCTTTCATCAACAACTCATTCTATAACAAATGAAAGTAACGAAGATGAAAGATAGAAATGACCTGCAGCACCATGAGCAAAATGGCACTTGCTGCCAAATGGGCAATACCCAGTCATCTCCCACTTGTTACAGATCCTCGTCTTCCAATTGGAAGGCTTCTGATTCATTCCATTCCCTCCACCACCATAACCTCCCCCTCCAACTGTGGGAGAAAGGCTTATAGCCACACTTTCACGAGGCTTTAACTCATCGTGCAGAAAAGTACAAGTATCACCATAAGGGCAACCTTCTTCAGTATAGAACTTCTTGCAGTTTCTCCCCTTGTATGATCTCTGTCCCTCACCCACAACAGAGGAGGTAGTCAGGATTGGAATCTGGTGCTCCTCCCTTGGCTCAACAAAACTTCCATCTTCAAGAGCTGCTACAATTTCTTGCCAATTGGGAGGAGGCTTCCTGAGCTCATCCATTCCATGTGCGAAGTTGCAGTTTGTGACATAAGGGCATGTCCCGGCACGAAATTTGCAGCATAATTTGGTTTTGAAGAACATTTTACCTAAAGCTTTGGACTTGCCAGCACCAGAATCTCCCTGTAAGGAAATTCGAGGCTTCTTGATATGGGGCTGCTCACTCCCAGCACGGGAATGGGGTTGCCGGCCATCATTGGTTTGGTTTGAGAACGAATCCATGGAGGAATCGCCATTCCAAGCACGGTAATCGTCTTCTGTTGCCCATATTGATTGATCGAGTGAAGATGGTATAGGTTCAGAACAAATAGCAGAAGCATCGGGAATGATCTCGATTACAGAATCAGACCTGCCTCCGTAATCCATGTAGAGTTACTTCAAATGTAGAAGAAAACAATAATTCCTTGAGATCAAACCGTTCACGCAATAAAAACTTTCAACTCTAAGAATAATAAAAGTGTAAAGATGGAGAACCAGAGAGAGAGAGAGAGATGAGGAGATACCTACTACTGTGGCGAAAAAAGGGGGAAACTGAGAGTCGGCTTGGATGCGAAGAAGGCGGAAGATCTTTATGTAAGGCGACTAAAAGGAGTGCTAGGGGGTTTCTGCAGCATGAGAATTGGAGCAGATGACAACCAATTTCTCCGTTAATTCTAGGGTTTCTGCGGCGAGGTGATCCAGACGACCAATTTGCGGTATTTCTATGGATATATCTTTTGTTTTTCTTCGGGGATATATATATATATATATATATATATGGAAATATATCGACA